GCACGGAGTCCCCGCGACGCGCGCCGGTCGCCCCGACGGGGTCCCAGCGACGCGCGCGGGTCGTCCGCTGCGCGAGCACAGAGAGCTAGCTGGCTGGCTGATAGCGGCAAGGGCTCCGGCCGCTAGGCCGAGCGATGACGGGCGAGCGAGGCGCTGGGCTGAGCGCAGCACGAAGTTCCCGCGACGCGCGCTGGTCGCCCCGAGAGGGTCCCAGCGACGCGCGCGGGTCGTCCGCGGCGCGGAGCCAAACAATGGAGCAGTCGACAGAAGGCGAGGCCTGGGCGGGCCGCTTCTCTGGCCTCGCGGATGATCTCGGTGAAGGCCAACTCCCTGGCGACAACCTACCGCGGCCGCTTGCGAGCGCGCTCCCGGGGCGCGGGGATCGGGATCTCCGCCGCGCTCGGGGTCACCGCCGACGCCGCCAGCTCGGTCGACGCGCCCTGCGTCGCCGCCGCCGCCGCCGCTGGCCCGGGCGTCGCCGCCGCCGCCGCCGCCGCTGACCCGGGCGTCGCTGCAGCCGCCGCTGGCCTGGGCGTCGCTGCTTCCGCCGCTGGCTCAGCTGGCGGCCGCCTGCGGGCGCGCTCCTCGAGCCCCTGCTCGTTGTCGGCCCCCGCCGCTGCCGCCGCCAGCCCAGGCGTCGCCTCAGCTGTCGCTGGCCCTGGGGTCGCCGCCGCCGCTGGCTCGGCTGGCGTTCGCTTGCGGGTGCGCTCCACGAGTTTCCGCTCGCTGTTGGCCCCGGCCCTGCGGCCGCGCTGCTCCTGCCGGGCCTCCCGGGCGCGCAGTTCGTCAACCAGGCGCTGGAGAGCGTCGGGCGCGGCGTGCTCACCGGAGGCCGGCTCGGCGTTGACCTCGTCCTCCAGCGCGTCGCCTTCGTCGTCCTCGGGCGCGGGCGCGCCGCGCGGGCCTGCTCCGCCCCGCCACCGGCCACGGTTCGCGAGCACGATCCCGCCCACCTTCGACGACTCGCACAGCCGGAACTGCAGGCGGAGATCATCGGACGTCCGCCAGATCTCCATCCTCGCGGCCAGCCGCTCCCAGAAGTCCCGCTCCTGCGTCAAGGTGGCGGCTGCCGCGCAGCTTTCGTAGCGCTTCTTCACGGCGAGCAACCGTCGGCGGAGCTTCTTGTACTCCCCGAGGGCATCGTCAAACTCGTCTGAAAGAACCCCGCAGCGTGTGCTGCCACCGGCCATGCCGAGCGAGCGGCCCTGGAGAAACTGCAGCCCCGACCGGGCGCCAGGCCCCGGGATGCATCCGTCCTGCTTCGCGAAGCCGCCCGTCGGCTCCTCCGCCAGCAGCAACGTGTACAGGGCGACTGTGTTCTTGCCGAGCAGGCCGCCGTACGCGCGGCTCCTGGCAATGCAGAAAGACCGCCTCCAGTCATCTTTGAGCGCCAACGCGCAGTTGCCCTCGGTCTTGAGGATAGCTTCTAGCCGAGCTCGCTTCCGGTCCTGTTTCTGCGAAGCTTCCAGGTAGAAGGAACGCTTGTCGAAACTGTCCGTGAAGGGCTCCCCCATGAATTCTTGCGCCAGAGCGATTATCCGAGAACCTTTAACGTTCTGCTCGCCGAGGGTCTGCTCGTGCACGTGCATGCAGAACTCCCGCGAGTTCACCAAGCTCATCGTGGCGCAAAAGATCCTACGGTGCAAGCTCTCGTGCTTGGACATGCGCTTGCCGGTCTCCAGGTTAAGAAGAGTGCACACGTCGGTCTCCTCGTGGTTGAGCTTCCGCTCGCGGAGCACCTGCATCTTGTCCGCCTGCGTGGTCTTCTTTACCCAATTCCCCACGGAATTGTCGTACTTCTTGTAGTCCACGCTGTGCGCCCAGAAACGCTTGAACGCTGGAGTGGCACCGTCGGCGGCGCACAGGTCGTTAAGGCGATCAGAAATCGGACACTGGACATCGGCCCGCTTCATAGGAAACTCTTCGCGGCACCCCAGGATGTCGCAAACCAAATCCAGAGCAGCTGTGGGATCCATCTTCACCGACATGGCGCGGCGCTGGAGCCCCGCGCCGGCGCTCAGAGTCCCCCCGGCTCGTGCCGGTCGTCCCCGAAAGGAGTCCCGGCAACGAGCGGGGGTCGTCTGGGGATGGCGTGGCGGGGGGGAGACCCCGCCCCGGGTTTGAGCCCAAACAATTGCGCAGCCTGCTCAATGTCCCCATCTCCCTCTCTCTCTCCCTCTCCCCTTGCTCTTCTGCTCCATTCTGATATCCGTCCTCCCCGTTCTCATCATCATCGTCATCATCATCATCATCATCGTCGTCGTCATCGTCGTCATCGTCGTCGTCGTCGTCGTCATCCTCGTCACCGTCGTCGGCGGCGGCGGCGGCGGCGACGACGGAGGCGGCGGCGACGGCGGCGACAGGGGCGACGACGGGTCGGCCGACCACAAAAAAACTTCAACTCCGACGGCCTCCGACGGCCTCCGGAGATCTCTGGAGGTTTCCACAAGCCCTCTCGAATCCCCCACCGGCCGCCCCTGTGGGCCTCAAGCCACCCCGGGAGTCAAAAAAACACACTAGAAACACAAAATAATAAAACCAGATCCTCTAGAAGAGATGAGGAACGCGAGCAGAGGGAGAGAGGACAGCGAACGCATGAAAAGAGGAGGGAGGAGGCAGGGAGAGGGAGGGAAGGAGACAGGGGGAGGGAGAGGAGGGAGAGGCAGGGAGAGGAGGGAGGAGCACAGGGGGAAAGAGGAGGGAGAGGAGGGAGGAGGCAGGGGGAGGGAGGAGTGAGCGGGAGAGAGCAGGAGGAGGAAGAGGAGGGGGCGGGGCGGAGGGTGAGCCCTCCGGTGTCCGGCCGACATGCGTGCTTCCTCGATCTCACCGTCCGGAAGCACCTGATAGGCCCCTGGACTGGTCCCCAGGATGGGGTCGAGAGGTCCACGGGTCTTGCGCCGTGCACAGGTCCCGCGTCCTGATCTGAACAGCCTGGAGATCTCCGGGAGCCTCCGTCCACAGGAGGCATATGTGACGCCCCCTCGAGGGCGCGATCTGCGCGAGGGGCGCCCCGAAATCGACAAGGCGCCGCCATGTGAACCCATCCACTGGGGCCGTCGGTGGAGCTCCCTATGGGGCCGCGATCCTCGTGACGGGTGTGCCGAAATGGGTGTGGAACCGCATGCGGACCCTGCCACTGGGGCCTTCAGTGGGGCTCACGATGGGTCCACGAAACGTGTGAGGGGTGTGCCGAAATGGGAATGGAACCGCATGCGGACCCCGCCACTGGGGCCTTCGGTGGGGCTCACTATGGGTCCACGAAACGTGTGAGGGGTGTGCCGAAATGGGGGTGGAACCGCATGCGGACCCTGCCACTGTGGCTTTTAGTGGGGCTCACTATGGGGCCACGGAACGTGTGAGGGGTGTGCCGAAATGGGGGTGGAACCGCATGCGGACCCTGCCACTGGGGCCTTCGGTGGGGCTCACTATGGGTCCACGAAACGTGTGAGGGGTGTGCCGAAATGGGGGTGGAACCGCATGCGGACCCTGCCACTGGGGCCTTTAGTGGGGCTCACTATGGGGCCACGGAACGTGTGAGAGGTGTGCCGAAATGACGGTGGAACCGCATGCGGACCTTGCCACTGGGGCCTTCGGTGGGGCTCACTATGGGGCCACGGAACGTGTGAGGGGTGTGCCGAAATGGGGGTGGAACCGCATGCGGACCTTGCCACTGGGGCCTTCGGTGGGGCTCACTATGGGTCCACGAAACGTGTGAGGGGTGTGCCGAAATAGGGGTGGAAGGGCTCACTATGGGTCCACTGCGTGAAATGGAAACGCCACTGTTCAGTGGGGCTCACTATGGGGCCACGGAACGTGTGAGGGGTGTGCCGAAATGGGGGTGGAACCGCATGCGGACCCTGCCACTGGGGCCTTCGGTGGGGCTCACTATGGGTCCACGAAACGTGTGAGGGGTGTGCCGAAATGGGGGTGGAACCGCATGCGGACCCTGCCACTGGGGCTTTTAGTGGGGCTCACTATGGGGCCACGGAACGTGTGAGGGGTGTGCCGAAATGGGGGTGGAACCGCATGCGGACCTTGCCACTGGGGCCTTCGGTGGGGCTCACCATGGGGCCACGAAACGTGTGAGGGGTGATGGTGATGATGACAGCGATGATGCTGATGATGATGATGATGATCATGATGATGATGATGATCATGATGATGATGATGATGATGATGATGATGATGATGATGATGATGATGATGATGATGATGATGATGATGATGATGATGATGATGATGATGATGATGATGATGATGATGATGATGATGATGATGATGATGATGATGATGAGGAGGGAGGAGGGGGAAGAGGAGGAGAGGAGAGGACGCGGGCACCGTCTCTTCAAAACGAGGACCCAACACCACAGGATGGTTGGGAACTATTGCAGAGTGATCACGGGGACGGTCCAGATTTCGGCGGGCAGTGTGCTGTGCATGGTGTTTTGACAGGGATGGTGGGCCTGCGCAGAGCGGACATTGTGAGGGCAGTCCTGTCGTGCCTTTGAAAAACCAACGCAGGCTCCCGGGGCTCCAGCGCACGGTGCAGATTTTGCCGCAGTGTGTATGTTGCATGATTTTTGACAGGGATGGCGGGGGGGATTATTTGCCTGAGTTTGTCGCCAATCGGGTGGAGGAGGGGGTGTATATCGATAAGGCGCAGTGATCAAGCTACCGCCCCGACGGACTGCAATCTCGGGTGGCCCCCCCAGAAGGGGAAAAAGGGGCTGGAAGAGACAACCTCCTAAACCACCTACGCCTTAAAGGGCTGGTGGCATTGGTGTGCTTGGACCTCGGGAGGGGTCTGGGGACGGATTTTCAGTTGCCGTTGTCTCAACTCGCCCTGCTCCTCCTCCCATGATGGCCACCGCCTCTTGTCCCGCCTGGTTCAGGGCGGAAAGAGTGGCTAGCTTTGGCTGGGCGGAACACGGGGGCTAGCTTTCGATTCGTGCATCGGAGGGCGGGTGGACGCCAGAGATGAGATCCCTCTCCCCCGAGAGGGCGATCGTCACCTTCTATCCGCCCACGAAGCACCTCTCCACGTGCGCGGTCCCGGAAGACAGAGCAGCTGCATAACCAGACACATTTGGAGCTCCGCGCGGGCGTCTTCGGGGGTAACGATTGGGGGGGATATGCATGGGGGGGGGCGCACGATCTCCAATCGCCCATTGATCATCGATAGGGGCCCGATAGCCCCAACCTGCCTATGAAGGTGTGGATTCACGGTCGGGGCCTATTGCAGACATATCGGCGATGTATTTCTCCGATTCTAGGTCGATGAGTCCCTCCCTGTGCCAGTCCCCCCTAATTACTGTTGCCCTTCATGTCTTGCATCAGCGCTGGACCCTCCTCCCCGGGGGGCGGAGCGCGCGCCAGGGCCGGCGCCGGAGGCGCCGCCGGTGGGGCCCAGCCGCGCGGAGTTCCGAGAGTTTGTGTTTGTGCAACTTGTTGTTTTCCTCCAGGTCGCCTCGGCCTCCTGGTCGTCGGCCCGCCCGTGCGTGTTCGCCGTGGCGATGGAGATGGGCGGCGTCTTCGTCTACGACCTGCTGCACAGCAAACAGGAGCCGGCGCTGCAGCTGCCTCTCCCGGGCGCGCAGGCGCAGAAGGCGCCGGGCAGGGTCGGGGGGCCTCCCTCGTCCACCAGCAGCGATCCAGGCCAAGCCCATCCTTCGAAAAATACTGGACCACTGTAGGTCCAGGTCGTGCCGATGCGACAGTGACTCCACCGCGGGTCACAGCACGAACCTGCCGTAATTGACAAGCATGAAAGCTTGACGGTCCGCGCGGATTCCTTGGGTCGACGCTGGACGCCAGACCCCCGTCCCTGGCGCGCGGAGCACGCCATCGTCGGCACCAGAGGCGCCTCCAGGGGGCCCAGCGCTGAGGATTTGTTTTTCCCCTCAGCAGCTTGTCTCTAAGGGTCCTGCCTAATTCTTCGAGGGCTGAGAGTTAGCGAATTTGGATGCGGAATTGGTGGCCCGTGGTCTCGGTATGCTCTGCCGTATGCTCTCTCGTATGCTCTCCCGTGTGCCGTCCTGCATGGTTTTCCGTATGTTCTCCCATATGGTTTCTTGTGAAGTGTCCCGTTTGGTCTCCCTTATATGGTCTCCCGTATGTGTTCCCGTGTAGTCTCCAGTATGTTGTCCTGCAGGCTCTCCCGTAGGTTCTCCCGCATGTTTGTCCGTATGCTCTCCCGCATGGTTTCCCGTACATGTTTTCTCGTATGGCCTCCCGTATGTAGGGTACAGCTGAACGCTCCATGTGTTTTTTGACTGTGCTGTTCAAAGGCTTCTGCTGCCAGAGGGTGCAATGCTTCTCCTACTCCTGGGTCCAGGAGTGTCGGCGGATGGTACCCTCCTGGCCCAGCCATGCGGGCGTGTGCGCCGATGGCCTGGGCCCAGGACTGGCCCCCAGCCAGGATCGGTGTCCACTGCCCGTGCGTCCTTGGCGCCCCACTGCCAAGGTGACGAGCGTCGCGTTCAACCCCAAGCAGCGGGGCCTCCTGGCAGTTGGGAGCTCTAGGCCTCCCAGATGGGGTCCAAGTAGGTGGGGTCGAAGGATCGTGCCGCATTGCCGATGCATCGGCGACGCGGCTCGATGTGGTGCCAGAGTGTCTCCACGCCGATGGCGCCGATGCATCTCCGACATCGCCCATGCATCGCCAACACATCGCCAATACATCGGTGATGGACTGGCGATGCACTGGCGATGCGGCGCGATCTTCCGACCCTACCTACTCGGACCCCATCTAGGAGGCCTCTAGGAGCGGCGACAGCGGCAGGGTGGCCGTATTCCGGCTCCCGTTCAAGCTTTCGGACCAGCAGAAGGGCGAGATGCGCGAGATCTCTCAGCTCATGAGCTCCTCCAACAAGCAGTGAGGCATGGAAACACCTCCCCCCCCCCTCCCCCCCTCCCTGGCTTGCGCTGCGAATTCGAGACGCGCGCGCGGCTCAGATGTTCCTTGGACTCGCCTGGATCGGCCTCGCCCCCGCGGCCGGACCCGTGCGCGCGGCGCGACGCGGCGGCGCGGGCTGGCGGCGGAAAAGATGCCTGGCCGCCCGCGGAGAAAAACACACACACACACACTTTTCCCGGCGCAGCGCGGCAGAGGCAATCCGCACTCCGGCGGCACGAGAAAACACACACACACACACACCACACACCACACACACACACACCACACATTGTTCGGTCGTTCGCAGGTGGGCGCATCGCCACACTGGCAGCACGGGGCGAGCTGAGCATTCGGCCCTTTATCAAGGGCGTGAAAAACGCCCCAACCCTGGTTTACGAGGCGCTGTGCGCTGAACCTCCTGTGGGCTGACAGGGTAAATCCTGCATATCGCGCGTGTCGCGCGGCGTCCTGGCTGCTCTTTGGCCTTCGGGAGCTCCAGGAGGTTTACGGACCACACACTTGCAACCCAGGGTAGGGGCGTTCTTGCATCCTTCAACTTTACGGAGCAGTTGGAATAGCAGCCGGGCCGGCGGGAGCAGGGGCGGCGGGGAGGGCGGTCAAGGCGGGGCCGGGGCGCGAGCGGGAGGCCGCGGTCGGGGCTCAAGAGACGGGGGTCCATGCAAACGGGGGCCAGCCAGAGCGCAGGATCTTGCAGGATCTTGCAGAGCCAGGGTTGCATTGACCCGGGTTTGGGTGCAGGATCTTGCAGGAGCCAGCAGGATATCGCGGGCTCCTGCAAAGGCTGACTGACCCAGGTCTGGATTGACCATTCTTCAGTTGATCTCCGAAGCGGGCGCGGGGCGCGCCGGCAGGGCAGCGGCAGGCAGAGGGGGCGGCCGAGAGCGACCGTAGACAAAACATATATACCGTAGCACCCCGCAAATGCGGATAAGAGTGAGGGGGCGGGCGCGGGCGACGCGGGCGAAGCTTGCGCTCCTCAGGTTTTGCGTGCCGATGGTTTAGTTGTGCAAGTTTTGAAGAGAATTCTGACCATCGAGAGCCACCTCCCTGTCCGAGCGTATTTGCAGATTGCGAGACGCAGTGCATGACCCTGATGTCCTGAAGGCCTGCATCAAGTGCAGGCGGTGTGGATTGGGCTGCAGTTCGGCGGGAGCCCCCTTCCTCTGGGGCCCGCACTTCATGTTCTAATCCGGGCGGGTCATCCAAATCTTGTAAATGGCATGAATTTGGGGCTCCTCAGGCCTGAACGTAGTGGAAGTCTCGGCAGAGGGCCTCGTATGTGACCGAATCGCGATGAATTCTCAGGGTGTCGCTCTGCCTCTTTCCTGAGCCCGGCCGCGACTAGCTCGGCGCTTGCACGTTCGCCCCAACGGCTGGCCCCCGCACCCCAGCGGCTCGCGAGGTTTTCCCGAGGGCCTGGCCCGCAGGGTTGCCCCAACGGTTTCGCGATTTTGCCGTCGGAGAACGCGCCCCTGCCGGGCGCGGCGGCGAGAGCGCCGAGGAAACTCGATATGCGCCCCCTTGCCAGGAGGAACGGGGGGCGCACGAGGAGAGCGGGCGGGATGGATATGAGGAGGGGGAAATGTAGGATAAGGTGAAGGACGACGACGACGAAGATGAAGACGAGGAGGAGGACGGGGAAAATGAGGAGAAAAAGGAAGAGGAGTCGGAGGAGGAGGAGGAGGAAAAGGAGGAGGAGGATGAGGAAGATATTAAATATAATGGGCAGGGCGAGAAAGACGATGATGAGCAGGAGGCGGAGGACGCAGAAGCGGAAAGCGAGTCTGCGCCAGTCGAGCAGGAGAAAGGCGAATGGCATGCTAAATAGGTTATCGTGCAGGGTCCTACCGTCGGAGCAATTGAGTTGACATTTCCGTTGCGACGCCGTGACTTCATGTTTTCGGTGCGCTCGATGTCGGCATCTTTACGAACCCCGAGGTTTTGGAGAGATGTTGGCTTGCGGGCGCGACGTCACGTGCGCGAGCACTTCGCCCCGGCTTCTGCGAAGGATCGGTGCACAGTGATGGTTTCTGGTTTTAAGAGCTTGCGCGCAGAATGGCTGATTTTGCCGAGGATGAGGGGGGCTGGACGATCAGTCGCTGCCTTGGGGTGGGACGAAGTATTTTTTAGGATGGGCGAGTGCGTATAAGCACATGCGAGGCACGATGCGAAAAATGTGGCCCTTTAAATCTGGAGTGTGGGGGCGAGAGATAGATCCGAATATTTATATCGAAAAGAGGGACTACCTACCTTGCAAACGGTTTTGTGCACGCTCATCAGCCGCGAGCTTATTCCAGGACGCAATTTTGGGCATGAAAGCGTTTCAGGGATTATGGCTTGAGCTGCAGTTCCCCAGTACCTCCTTGCACGATTCTCCACCCTGCGATGCCCCCCTAACCCCAAAATGTTGAAGATGTGCGGTCCGTGCTCCCTCACTTCCTCACCACCCCTTGCACGATACTGCTAAAGCAGGCCAGCTCCTGAACGAGCTGTGGACCAGTGGTGCACCAACAAATGTATCCAGCGCCATTTCAGGTTCAGGATCGTTTGGGCAGAGCCATTTTGCTTTGCACCGAAAATGGTAGCAGCGTTTCTGGGTAGGTGAATAGGGTTGGACGGTGTGACTATCATTATTATCCGAATGATTTCAAATACGAAACGTTGGATTGTCGTATGTTCGGACACGCGCACGATAAGAATTGCCTTCGATTTCTTGTCAATGGCCCCGCTGCCATGTTAGGCCCCGCCGTGACAAGCACGGCAGCAGGGCGTTCACAGGCCCCCAGACCCGCCTCACCACAAGAAGGCGCGTGATCTGTTAACACCGTTTACGTAAAAGTTGTTGGGAAGTTGTTCATCATTCTGGGGAGGTGTGCCAAGTAGTTCCTGGCGTTGCATCGTGTGCTTGTGGCCGCACACGCCTGCCAGGATACGGAAACCAGGACAGATCGGAGCCTCAGCGTCTCCCCGCCGCAAGGAGGGCCACGCTGTGCGCTCCGCGAGAGCCTTGGCCCGAAGCGCGCAGCCCCTCGCCTCCACGCGGCCTCGTCGGGCGGCGCCATGGACGAGGAGCGGGCGAGCACCAGCGAGGGAGGATTAGGAGGAGGAGGAGGAAAAGGAGGAGGAGGAAGCAGAGGAGGAGGAAGAGGAGGACGAGGACCAGTGTAAACCCAAAGGTGATCAACGATGTTGGAATGAACCTTCCCTCCAAGCTCCCTTTTTCGTTGGCCCCTACACTACAACGGGTCATTCCCACTGAAGGATTTTCTTCGTTGGAAGACAGCCGTTTGAATACCCTAAAGCATGCCGAAATATCGCTTTGGGGATTTCAACGCCACGGGTCAACTTAAGTGTTGCATCGTGATGATCCTGAATCGTGCCAATACGCCGTTCCTGGGACTTCAACACCGCGAATCAATGTAGCTGCTGCACCCTCATAATCCCGAATCCTTCCCAAACAGCATGTTGGTACGCTGATCATGGGAAACCTTGAAAAACTTTCAAACTTCAAGCACGAATGTGCGCAGCGCTTTGGCGAGAGCACCATTTTGAAACGGAAACGCCGTCAATCTGTGAAGTTCTTACAACACATGTTTTAAACTAACGGTTGGCGCTAAGGCGAGAAACACAGTTTGAAATCCTGCCGCCCTCGATGCGTGAAACTCGTACAACATGTTACAACCAATGTGCGGGGCGCAAAAGCGAGAGCCACATGTTGGAAACGGCCCGCCCTACGTCGCAAGTGGTGATTAATTCTCAGGCGAAACGCCCAGTCCGCGTTACTAACTGGCCTCTGGGTGCGACAGAAAAAAGTTTCTTATCAGGAAAAGAAATGGGGGAGGAGGTGGACGAGGAGGAGTTGCAGGAGGAGGAACAGGAGTAGGAGGAGGACGGGAGGAGGAGGAGGGGAGGAGGAGGAGGAGGAGGCGGAGGAGGAGGAGGATGATAAGGATGATGATAATGATGATGATGAGGAGGAGGAGGAGGTGTAGGAGTAGGAGGAGGAGTAGGAGGCCAGAGGAGGAGGACGAGGATAAGTGCTTGCGAGGGGCTGCGGTGGCCTAGTAATGTTTTCGGCCTGCAGAAAAGGGGGAGGAAGGGACACCCTCTTCGCCACGCTTGGACGCGGCTTGAACAATGTGTCTTTTTTGAATCCGTAGGATTTGTCCTCGTCCCCCCTTTTATGCAGGTTTTCCATAGGCTCTTCTGGCTGTGAGTGGGCGACGCATGGGCGTCGCCGACGAGTGGTCGACGCACTGAACGAGGGTCGTCTTCACCGACGTTGGCGCGTAAGCTGTCCGCGTAAAGTCGCGCGTGAGCGCCCCCGTTTCTCGTGCAGCGTACCGCGCCGGCGGCCCGCGCAAGCCACGTCGTCAGGTGGCCCCGTCATCGTGCGTAGGACCCTGTTCTTCTCGTCGCTCATGTGAGCCCCATTGTAACTGAATATCAAATCCACAAACACATCAGCCTCCATGCGCCGTGGGAAGAGACGACAGTCTCGGGCTGGGGCTGGGGAGCAGGGCACGGGGGGGTGGAGGCGGAGCGGGGCGGAGGAGGGGTGGGATTGGATGCAAGCAGGGGGTCGGAAGGGAGCAGAGTGAGGTTGATTGGAGGAGGGGGGATGGGGGGAGGAGGGAAGAGGCCGGAGGCAACAGGGAGGAGGGAGGAGGGATGGGGGATGCGGGATCGGGACGATGGTGGTTAAAGAAGTAGAGATGGTGCGTTGGTCTTGGTGGCAGTGATGATGAGGATGATGATGATAATGATGATAATAATGATGATGGTTATGGTGATGTTGAAGATTGTCATGATGATGTTGCTGATGACGATGATGTTGCTGATGATGATACTGGTATGATGTTGATGACGATGTTCATGATGCTGATAATCATGATGACGATTCTGAGGCTGATGACGATGCTAGACATTATGATGATGATGATGATCATCATCATGGTGAGGATGCTGCGGCTGAGGATGATGATGGTAGATAATGGTGACGATGGTGGTGATGATGATTATGATACTGATGATGTTGATGATGATGTGTTTGATGACGTGACGACGACGATGGTGATGGTGATGGTGATTGTGACGATGTCGATGACGATGCTGACGATGGTCATGAATGGTGATGATGCTGCTGATGATGATGCTTCTGCTCATGCTGACCATGCTTGTGATGGTGATGGTGATGGTGATGACGGTGAAGATGCTGCTGCTGATGCTGATGATCATGAAAGTGCTGATGCTGATACTAATAATAATGCTGATGGTGCTGACGATGCTGAAGGTGATGACGATGCCGATGGTGACGATGATGATAATGCTGACGATGTTGATGATGATGGTGGTGGTGATGATGATGCTAATTGTGCTAATGATGATGACGAGGATGATGATGATGGTGATGATGATGATGATGCTGATGATGCTGATGATGATGATGATGGTGGTGGTGGTGGTGGTGTTGGTGATGCTGCTGATGATGATGATGATGATGATGATGATGATAATGATGTTGTTGGTGGTGATGATGATGATGATGAAGATGGTTGTGGTGGTGGTGGTGATGGCTCGGGAGGAGGAGGAGGAGGAGGAGGAGGGTTTGGGGGGAGGGTGGAGAAGCAGCGTAAGGAGCACCAGGGGGGGAGGGAAACAAGGGCAACGGGGGAGGGAGGAATGAGGGGGGGAAGGAGCGAGAGGGGGAGCGGCGCCGTGGGTCGGGGGAACGCACAGGGGAGAGGCGGGGAGGATGGAAGAGGCAGGCGGGTTAGGCCAAACTGTGGGCAAGAGCAGGTGTGGGGATGCGAGGGGGCGGAGTCCTAAGTTGGAAGGGGCGGGGGTAGAAGAGGTGGGGCAGGGAGGTACAGTCAACCCGTGCAGTAAGGATGCGCGGCAAGGATGCAAGGGCTTTGGAAGGCCATGTTGACGTTTTTCGAACAAGGTCGACCAGCGATAGTCGCTAAGGATGGATCCAAGGGGCGAGGATGCAAGGGTAACCTTGGAATGCTGCTCATCCTTACTATGCGGGTCGACTGTAGGGAATGGTGGGCAATTCCCAACCTAGGCCTGCTCATGTGCCAACAGGGCTCTCGCTGTCTGCTTTGTCGCTCCCTCGCTGCACGGGGAGATCACGAAGTATTCGATGTGTGAAGCCCCAATCGGCAGACAATGCTATATATGCAAACAGATCTACACAGGCAACTCAGATGATTAATCAGGTATTGGGTGTTGGGAATGAGATCTACGTCAAACGGAGTGTCCCAGAACTGCGAATTCGGTTTCGTTTTGCATCGATTCGTGTCGTGCGCGACGTGCGTGCGGGCGAGAGCAAGAGAGATCTTGCTCTAGTTAGGGGTGGTTCACGTCAGAATGCTTCTTTCCCGTGTGCGCCGGGGCTCCCCCCTTTCGCCTTTGCTCCGCGGCCGCCTTCTGTCCGGTCTCTCTCCCTCTCCATCTCTCTCTCTCTCTCTCTCTTTATCGCATTGCCAGGCAATTAGCATGCGTCGCCCCAGCCACTAGTGCGCGCGAGCGGATTGCCTCTGCCGCGCCGGAGGGCCAAGCTTGTCCAAGAGGTCCCGTGGTTGTTCTGTGGTTGTGGCGCGGTTGTTCTGTGGTTGTCCCGATGGTTGTCCAACGGTTGGTGCCTTGCTGCTGTCGCCTCAAGCTTGATATATCCATAGTACACCAAGACAATAAAAAGTCAGCCTGGTAGATTGCCCCATCGTAATATATATATATATAGAAAGAGAGGATTGGAGTCCGTTCGAGCATGTACCCAGATCGATCCACAAGTGGTGTCGATAGATAGTGGGACAGGTAGTTTGTGAGGGCGACGTATTTGTAGTGATATTGATCGGTCGGTTAGTAGTGGGAGCGCGATTTATTGATGGTTACACACGACGCAGTGATTTCGATCGATATGTAGCGCGAGTGGTGGAAGTCTTGGGTTCGTACTTATGTATGTGTGTATCTAGTGGCCTTCGACCCATCCCGCCAAGGTGCTTGGGTTGTGGGTTTGGGTTCTTAGGGATACTTCTTGGGGTCTTTTCGGAGCGCTCTCGGGGGCCTCTTAGGGGCAGTTTTGGGGCCTCTTGGGAGCGTCTTGGGGGTCTCTTGGAGGCCTCTGGGTGCCTCTTGGACGGCCCTTGGGTTTCCTTGGGGGCCGCTGTTGGGGGGAAGCAATCGTATTCCCCTGTATTGGGGCTTTCATTCGCGGAGGAGTGGCGCTCCGCTAATGGGAGCGAAGCAATTGTAACCCCCTGGCTCGATGCCAACTAGCGGAGCGCCGCTCCACTAATGGGAGCGAAGCAATCGTAATCCGCTGGTTCGCGGCCAATCAGCGAAGCGGAGTTCCGCTAATCGGAGCGAAGCAATCTGCTACCCCCATGGTTTGACGCAGTTTAGCGGAGAGGCGCTCCGTTGAAACATAGTTGTTTGCGTTTTTCTGCTGTATTTGAAGGGCTCTATCTTGAAAGGTTTCGCGCTCCAATGGTGCTGAAAGGAGTTCAACACGCGCGCTTGGCGGCGCACGCGTTTGGCCCGCATGGTATTAGTTGATATGGATGTGTGCATTGGCCGCTTGCTAGATCAGCGCGGATGTACCGCGTGGTGGGTTGAGCATGGGAGTTTTGGACGAAAATTGTAAATTCATATGATTCCCGCATGACGTCAGCAACTGCGCGCGGGCAAAATTGCGGCAATATTGTTGGTGGAAACCTAGATATGTTCGACTTTGTTATGTTGAACCGCTTGCATAATCAATGTGTTTAGCATGAGCTCGGCATGTGCACGCGCGTGTTGGCTTCGTGGTATTGGTTTGCACGGGGTGTTCGAACATAATCTTGTGCGATGAGCACACGCAATTTGAGCGCACGGCATGATGTGACAGTGGTCGGGGGAGACGGTGCCCGCCCAACTGGCTTCAATAGCCCCCTCACAGTAATCCATGGCGGCCTCAGCACATCAACCTGGAGGCGGGAAACGCTTGAAGGTCGCCGACAGTGGCGACGCCAGGGGGTCGCGACCGCTCTGGGCTATCCTGGGGGGCTTGTTGCGGCCAGCTGGGACTACCTAGAAGGATTTGTACGCAACCCGAAGCTGACCAAGAGCGAGGAGGAGAAAGTGGAGGAGGAGGAGGAGGAGGAGGAGGATGAGGAGGAGGAGGAGAGGGAGAAGGAGGAGGAAGAGGAGGAGGAGGAGGGACCCCCCGAGGAGTACGATGTCATCGTCTGCGGCACGGGACTCAAGGAGTGCATCCTCAGCGGCCTGCTGTCCGTACACGGCAAGAAGGCCTCCCCTCTTCCGCCTCCCCACGCCTGCCCTTCCGAGAGGCCGGCCTCCGCCGCCGACCGAGGAGGAGGATGATGGAGGGGAAGGCAGACGAGGAGGAGGTGTGGGGGGGGGGGGGGGAGGGAGGAGGGAGGAGGCAGGATGAAGAGGGAGGGAGGGAGAACGGGAGAGAGAGAGGGAGGGAGGGAGGGAGGGGTGAGGAGGGGGGGGGGGGGGAGAGGGGCGAGGGATGGAGTGGGGAGGGAGGGAGGGAGGGGGGGGGGGGGGGGGGGGGGGGGGAGGGGGGAGGAGGGGGGAGGAGGGAGGGGGAGGAGGGGGGGGGGGGGGGGGGAAACAGGGAGAGGGGAGGGGGGAGGAGGGAGGGTGGGAGAGAAGGTAGGAGCCGCCGACTTGGGTGCCTTTGCGGATCTTATGCCGACGTGGCGTTTGCAGCAGTTGACCCATCGTGGGTTGTGTAATTGGAAAGAGGGGCCTCTGTGTACACCGCAGAAAATTGAGGAGGCGGACTTGCCACGGGTTGACGAGGCAGGAGGAGTCGCAGGAGGTGGCGCACCACTGCAGGAGGAAAAGAACGGACCAGGGGCAGGAGCCCGATGAGCCGGAAGAACAGCAGGACCAGGGGAAGGTGGCAGAGGGGGACGGTGACGACGAGCAAGGTACCAGATCCTCAAGGCAGATCACCCCCAGGCGCAGTCGGGACGCGTGGGGGCCGCTCTGTAGATCTAGGTCGTGGAACCCACGCGCAGCCCAGGCTCACCGTGGTCAGACACGCCTGGCCCGTCTACGGGTCTCTGAGGGGCATTTGGGAGGTCTCGGGGTCGTGTCGAACTATCTTGAGGCCGTGGGAGGTGTTTCTCATACCGCCTTCTCGGGCCGATCGCGGGCGTTTTGGGGCTCAAGGCAGTTGTTGCTCAAGCATCGGCCTCAGTGATACGCACGCTCTCTCCCACGACGCGGGTAGTTAGCCCTGACCACACTGTGTCCACGATTTCCGAGTCGGATTCAGTTCATGTCCAGCCGTTTGAAAATTGATGAGTTGGCGGCCTGCTTCCCAGCTTACTGCCGTTGCAGGACCCATCTGGTATTAATCCAGCCTCAAAAACGAGACGTCACGTTGCATCTGGTCCCTGCTCAGGGAACGGACGCGTACCAGGGCGACGAGAACAAATTCCAGGACGTGTCCCACTGGCTTGGTGTGGCAGGAGGCTTCTTGTCTGCACGGCCCGCGCCGACGAACCTGGCTGAGCTGAGGTCCTGGGGCGCGACGGCTGTGGTGACCCTCCTTCACGGAGGCGAGCGTGGCATCGAAGTCCTCAGGCAGGGAGAGGAGCGGCTGGGGCTGAAGTGGCAGGTGGCGCCAGTGCAGCCGATCTCGAACGCGAGCAGGCCGGTCTCTGCGGAGGATGTCGTGAGTTTCCGCACGGCGAGCTTGGCGCTGGAGTGGCTGCGGCAAGGCGAGCACGTCGCCGTGCACTGTCGAGCGGGCTTCCACCGCACCGGTACGTTCTGTTACGTCCTCCTGCGCCAGAGCGGCAAGAGCCCGGCTGAAGCGATGGAGGCTCTGAGGACAATGTCGAATATTACAAAGCGGGATGAGCATGAAGGTTCGGAGTTCCGCGCGGATTTCTTGGATCTGCGCTGAGCCCCCCTGGCAGCGCCTCCGTCGCCGCCCGTGGCGCGCTCCGCGCGCCAGGGAGGGGGGTCCAGCGCCGATCCAAGAAATCCGCCCAGAGCTCCGACATTTTATGGGTATGCCGTTTTGTTTCATTCTACGATGCGAGAGCTGACCTGGCGGGAGATGGAGATGAGGACCAGGAAGAGGCCACACGGCTTGCACGTGAAGGCAGAGCAGGTATTCCAGGCCCTCCGCGCCCCACCTGACACTCGAGCCGATTTGTGCACAAGGGGGTGATGTGGTGGGGGCGGCTGGCCTGAAGAAATGTTGGTCGGAGCGCCAGGCCGCGTGCTTCCAGCGCACGTCTCAGGACTCAGGATGTATTTTGGCACGATCGCTGGCTTCCCGCGATTTTGCCCGAGGTAACTTTGGGGGGGGCGCTTCTCGACATGCAGGGTACGTCGTGCCAAATGTGCGGCGTAGCTGTAGGACCCTTGTGGCGGGCTGACAATCCAAGCGTTGTTGTCTTTTTTGCTTTTCGGTAACTGGGAACTTCTCGGGACTGAATCGGCTATGCGGGTAGGGAGCTTCTAGGGACTGAATCCGCATTGTATATATATATATATATACATATATATACACATACTAGTGTGGACCCGTGGATTAAATCCACGAAGTTGGGCGGATCGAAGCATGGTGGCGCGCGCTGGGTGGTGCGATGCTGCCAGCTACTGCCGTAGATCCCTTGAAGCTTGTTCTAGTGCTGTTCCCCCACCGAAGGCGCCCAATGCATCGAAACGGGGGCCGAAGTGTTCGAGCTTCGCAAGAGGCAGAAATTCAGGAGTCCAGGCCTGAGCAACGTTGGGAGATTCGCGCCGGGATCGCGGCGGACGCGGGAGCGGGTTCGGGCAAACGCGGCGCCGTCTCGGGCCGCGTCGGAGGCGTCGGAACGGTGTCGCGGCAAAGTAGGGAGCGCAGCGGGGCCGCCCCAGGGCCACCAGAGCGTCAAAACATGTGTTTTTTGCGCCTGCGAGGGGCCGCTCGCCTCTCGTCCGCCCCCCTCTGTTAGAAACAAGTTTGAAGCTTCTTCGGAGCTGTTTGGGAGCTCTATGAGGGCTGTTTGGGGCTCCGGGGGGCTTCTCGGAGCACTGTCTGGGCCGTCCTGGGCCCGTCTGGAGCCATCTTTGGGCCCTCTTGGGGGCCGTCTTGGGCGATCTTGGAGGCCTCTGGGGCCGTTTTGGACGCTTCGAAGACCAAAAAGCCGAATCTGCTGAAAATGACAATTTTCCACAGAGACTGTGACGATTTTTGCTTGATGGAGCCCTTTCGGGGGACCCCTTGGACCCGCCTGGAGCCGTCCGGGGCTGTCTTTGGGGCATGGGGCCGTCTTGAGAACATCTTGGACCGCCTGAAAGCCGTCTTGGGTCGTCTCGGGGCCTCCATGGGCCGTCTCGGGGCTCTTCTGGGGAGCTCCGGTGCCGTTTCGGGCCCTTCCGGGGGCCCTCCGGAGGCGTTTCGGGGTTCTCTGAGGGCTCCGGGGACCGGGACCCCCGCAGACCCACAAAACATGTTTCAGATTTATTTAATGGCTGCCGCCTCTGCCGCCGACCCCAAAGAAGTTTGTCTTGTTGGGGGCCCGGGGGCCTTTGGACTTCTGGGGAAGTCATAGATTGCCCAATTGAGCCCTGGCGCGATCTTCGTCTTTGGGGTTGATAGAAGGGGGGGGAAAGGGTGGGGGCGCATGGCGATGAGGGCGACGACAAGGAGGAGGAGGGTGAAAACGGGTAGGGGGATGCGGAGGCGGAGGGCGAGGGCGAAGATGGCGTTCCGCCACGGCGCGGCAGGCTTGGAAGGATCATTCGGCGCTTCGGGGTCTTCTGGAACCGTCTCTCCGGCTTCTTGGAGTCCACTTGGCCCGTTTTGAAGCACGTTATGCCCCAATGACATGTTCGTCCGGGGGTGGTCTCGGGCCGGAGGGGGTGTCAAAATCCTGGCGAGGGTCCCTGGGGTGGATCATGGGGGGGGAATCGCACGCGCTTGGCGCCCGCCGCCCGCCCGCCCGCCGCCCGCCCGCCCGCCCGCCTAAAATCTTCCTAAAAAACTTTCATCTGGAAGAATCCAGGATTCGAGGAAACTTGAAAAGCAACTCTCTGAAACATTCCTCCGGAAGAATCCAGGGTTCCTCGAACCAGAAAAATTTTAAACCTTCCTCAGGGAGAATCCGTGATTTCTGGAACCTTTCAAACCACCTTCCTAAAACCCTTCTCACGAACAGTACAGGATCCCTGTAACCTTTCAAAAACAAGAATAAAACCTTCCCCAAATCCTCCTCAAGAAGAATCCAAGATTCCTGGAACCTTCCGAAACACCTTCCTAAAACCCTCCTGACGAAGCATCCAGGATTCCTGGAGCCTTCCAAAAGCAACCTTCTTAACACCGCCCCCAGGAAGAATCCAGGATTCCCAGAACCTTCCACAAAAAGCTTCCTAGAACCTTCTTCCGGAAAAATCCCGGATTCCTGGAACCTTCCAACAAAGCCTTCCTAGAATTTTCCTCGCCTTCCTAAAACCCTCCCCGCGAAGAATCCAGGATTCCTGGAACATTTAGGACAACAAAAACCTTCGTAAAACCTTCCTCGGGAAGAATCCAGGATTCCTGGAACCTTTCAACAACACCTTCCTAAAACCACACTCCGGAAGAATCCAGGATTCCTGGAACCTTCCAACTAAGAGCGTCTACGCTAGGATTCCTATTGGGAGCCTCTACAAAAAGGGCCCTATTGAGGGCCTCCACAAAAAACATATTCTTATTGAGAGCTTCTACAAAAGGGTTCCGATTGGAAGCCGATACAAAAAAAAATCCTATTGAGAGCCTGTGCAAAAGGATTCCTATTGAGAGCCTCTACAAAAGTATTCATGTTGAAAGCCGCTGCAAAAGGATTCCGGTTGAGAGCCTTTTTTACAAAAATATTCGTATTGAAAGACAATACAAAATAATCCAGATTGGAACCCAATACATGTTGATTATTATTGAGAGCTTGTGCGAAAAAAAAGGCTTCTTATTGAGAGACGCCGCAGAAGGATTCCTATTGGAGAGCCATTGCAAAAGGATTCCTATTGAGAGCCTCTACGAAATCATTCCTATTGAAAGCCTTGTGCACAAGGATTCCTATTGAGAGCCTCTACAACACATATTCCCATTGAAAGCGAATACACAAGGATTCCTGCTGACACCCATCACAAATTGTTTCCTATTCAGAGCCTGTGCAAAAAGGATTCCTGTTGACAGCATCTACAAAACGGATTCCTATCGAGAGCCTCTACAACAAGGTTTCTTAGTACAGGCTAATACGGGAAAAAAGGATTCCGATTGTGAGCCTCTACGAACGGAGTCCTCTGGAGAGCTTCTACAAAAGGAGCCCTGTTAAAACCTCGACAAAACAATTCTTATTGAAAGCCTCTACAAAATGATTCCTAGTGAGAGCCTTTACACAAAGGGTTCCCTTTTGAAATCCAATACCACAGGATTCCTATTGAAACCCCATGCAAATGGATTCCTATTGAGAGCCTGTGCCAACCGATTCTCGTCACGAGCCTCGACAAAAGGATTCATATTGAGAGCCTCTACGAGAAGGATTCGAATTCAAAACCTTTTACACGAGGATTCCTATCGAGAGCCTCTACGCAAGGATTCCGATTGAGAGCTTCTACAAAAGGACTCCAATTGGAAGCCAACTATTTACGATTGAGAGCCTCTACAACAAGGATTCCTATTGAGATTCCCTTTTCTACAAAAGGGTTCCAAAAACCTTCCGTAGGAAGATTTCAGGATTCTGTTTTATATGAAAAATCCTAACACCTTCCTCGGGGAGACTCCAGGATTCCTGGAACCTTTTCAAGACAAGCCGTCCTACAATCCTCCTCACGAAGAGTCCAGGATTCCCAGAACCTTCCAACAACACCTTCCTGAAACCTTCCTCAGGAAGAGTCCAGGATTCCTAAAACCTTCGAAGAAAAAAAAAAAAAAAAAAAAAAAAAAAAAAAAAAAAACCTTCCTAACACCTTCCTCGGGGAGAACTCGTGATTTCTGGAACCTTCAGAAACCCTTCTTAAAACTTTTCTCAGGAAGCAGATCGGATTCCTGGAACCTTCCAAACAACCTTCCTGAAAACTTCCTCGTGGAGGATCCTTCTTGAACCTTCCAACTAAGAGCCTCGACCAAAAGGATTCCCAAAGGAAGCCACTACAAAAACATTCTAGTGGAAACCAATCCACAAGGATTCCTGTTGAGAGCATCCTGGGCGGGGCCGTCATGAAGAAGAACGAGTCCATGGACCCGGAGATTGGCACCGTCCTGATGTTCCTGTCTTTGCTGGGCTCGGTTGCGACCATGGTGGTGTTTTGGTGCTGTCCTCAGGTGATGCGCCTTTCTCCCACGAATTATATCCTGCTGGGGGTGTTCACCTTCGCCAAAAGCGTCATGGTTGGCTTCATCTGCAGCCAGTACAGCGAGGAGTCGGTGCTGGTCGTCCTCGGCCTGGCGTGCTTCATCCAGGCGGGCCTGACCGCGTTCACGGTCCAGAAGAAATGCGATTTTATTGGTTTCGCGTCGTACCTGATGTGCGGATCACTCGTCATGCTCGGCATGAGTTTCGGTCTGATATTCGGTTCCATCTTCGGTCTTTCGGGCGCGGCCTTCCAGACCGCCCGTCTCTGCATGTGTGGGCTTGGCGCCTTGCTCCTTGCAACCTACATCGTGTACGACACCCAGATGATCCTTGGGAACAAGCACCCAAACCACAAGTTCTCGGTTGATGAGTACGCCGCGGCGGCCATCATGCTCTACATCGACATCATCGTCCAACTGTTCCTCTACCTCCTGGAGCTCCTCGGCGACCGCAGGGACAGCCGCAACCGCGGCGTGAGGGGTGCCCGCGCCCGCTTCCAGCCGGTGCGGTAAGCGCGGCACAGCTGCGCCAGTCGGGCGTTGGCAGATGTGTTGGCCGCAGTCCAGCAGCGACTGACAACATTTGAACCAGATGCAGCGAGGTTTCGCTCGAGCCAGTTTAAGCAGCGCCGTGGCCAGGGCAGCGCCACGCATCACAGCGACGCGCGAGCGACAGAGAACAACAAAAAAAATATTCCTGTTGAGAGCCTCTACGAAAGGATTCCTAGTGAGAGCCTCTACAAAATAGTTATTACTGAGAGCGTGTGCAAAACTATTCCTATTGAGAGCCTTTACGAAAGGTTTCCTATTGAGAACGCAGCCACCGTAGCGCGTTCGGTCGAGCCCCCTGTACGCCCACGCAGCGAGTGAGACGTGTACCAAAATGGGTCGATGCACCGTTCGAACGCAGCCACTGGGGGGCCACGGAACGAGTGAGAGGCGTGCCGAAATGGGGCGGGACACCATGTGAACCCTGCCACTGGGGCTTTTGGTGGAGATCCCTATGGGGCCACGAAGCGTGTAAGGGGTGTGCAGAAACGGAGCGGGGCACCATGTTAATCCAGCCATTGGAGCCTTCGGTGAAGCTCCCAATGAGCCCACGAACTGTGAGAGGGGCTGCCAAGCAGGGGCGAGCCACCATGCTAACCCTGCCATTGGAGCCTTCGGTGGAGCTCCCCAGGGGGCCGCGGAACGAGTGAGGGGTGTGCCAACATGGGGCGGGACTCCATGCGGACTGCGCCACGGGGGCCTCCTGTGGAGTTCCCTAGATGGCCGCGGAGCTTGTGAATGATGCGACGAAATAGGGCGGCGTACAACGCGAATCGTGACACTCGGGCCGAAGTCGTTACGTTAGCCCTTGACGGCCCCTCCGCGCGCCCCCGAAGAGGTGTTGCACCTCGACCGGAACAGCTACTACGGAGGCTGGGAGCCGCTCTGCCCCGCGCCGCCGGGAGGGTCCGCGGGGCTGGGCCTTCCTCCAAGTCTGCTCGCCCGGAGGGGGTCTGGCAAATCTGGGTCCGATGCCCAACATCGAGCAATGGCGAAGCGTCCTGGCTTGCCGAATAGGCCCACCAAATGATGTTATGAGAACATGTTGTGGCTTGCGCGAAATGTTCTTAGAACGGTTCTGGCCGAGACGGTCTTGCTGAAATGCATCGGATCTATGTTCTAAAAGCATTGTTTTTGTTGTTCGAGCGGTTCTGGGATTTTCAGAACATGTCGTGGTAGGCCTATAGGAATGCCTGGACGGTCGGCCCCTGCACAACAGAAGGGGGACGGACAATCTGGGTACGATGCCCAACTGGAGCGCCAGTTCATCCGGAACGCGATCAGCTGTGCTGCGAGTCCCATCTGACAACAAATCTTGCCATTTGACAGCACGTGCTGTCCAGATGGGCAATACCTGTCGTCATCACGTCAAGAGTTGGTGTCAGGAGAGATCCAAAGGACAGCGAATATTGTTTCACATGCACAGGGCTTCGTACCCATATTTGTCCGTCCCCATTCTGAGCCTGCAAACTGAGCACGGGGGGGGGCACCCAGACCCCATCGCGTCGTGAAGAAAGCACGACGGCAGGTTCTGTCGGTTTTCGGTCTATAGCGGCCCTCACTGGGCACACGGACCGTCATCAAAACAGGTCGGGGTGAAACACTGGTCCTGGGGAAGGTGTCCAGGCCTCTGGGGGTCGACGTTTCGAATAAGAAGCAAGTGAAAAACACGACGTCGGAGATCTGGGAGAGGGCTAAGGAGGAGGGCGCCGTTCTCTGCGACCACGTGCGAAGCCAACTCCTGCGGGGCCAAATCGGGCACCCCCGTTTGGGGTCATCTGGCGGAGGAGGAGGCGCAGAGGAGGCAAGCGTGCTCGTGCCACACCTGACACCTTCTCCCCCTCCCTCTCTCTCTCTCTGCTGGTCGAGGGGGCCGACGAATCCAGAAACGCAAAAGCCATTCAGGTTTTTCCATATTCAGTAAAACTCGCGCTCTTCTCCTTCGGTTGGCGTCGGGAGCGCTTCACATGGCCCCGAGGCTCGAGACGGGCCCACAACTTGGAAAAACAGCCCAAGAGGGCCCCAAGCGGGCCCCAAGGCCTTCAAGGCAGCCCGAAAAGGAAGATCCCCAAGAGACCCCTACACTCCAAGCCAGCCCACTTCATGTTCAATAATGCCCCACGCTGGCCCTGAACAGCTCCAAGGCCCCGCATGATTCCTAGCAAGAGGAGGCCGTCGATAGAACGAGAAACGAACAGCGAAGACCACCGAGAGAGACTTGGATGATTAACGAGGAACGACATATTAGGAATATCAGGGGACGATCGGGCAAGGCTTGGTATGAGCTGGTCCGAAAAGCACGCACAGCTAACATCGCCATGGCATGCGCTAGAACCCAAGCGCGCGCGAAGCGCGCGCGCGGCTCTAGTTTATAGTCTACAAAAACCTCGCCCCATGGAGGACTCTTTGCATACCAAACCCTCCGACCAGGACCCCCGCCCAACCTGCATCATAGCTGTCTGGGGGTCTAAAACTGCTCTTCTGCTGGGGTTGTGACACCCATTCCTGTTATTACGACATTCTGACCATTCTTGGGGCCCGCAGCACATGCATATACCTACCTCCCCCTCTGCGGCGTCCGCCTCGGGCGCCTGCTGGAGGCGACTGCGCGTCCCTAAACATCACCAACTTGTGGGAGAAGTTCCGGCCCGGCACGGCCCCGCCGAAGGAGCCTCCGGACCCCCCATGTCACCGTGGTCGGGCCATACGGAAGTCGGCGTCGAGCCCAAGGTGGAGGTGAGAAGGGGCGTGTCTCCTCAGAAGGTTCGGAAGTCCCCCAGCCTCGTGAGAGGTGTTCTAAGCATTCCCTGGAAACGCAGAAAAGGAGGCCTTCTGACAAGCACCGCTGCCTTCTGAGAAGGCCTTCTCCTTCTCATTTCCCCTCCTCGCTCGCCGCCGACGAAAGGGTAGGATAACGAAAGGGTGGGGGCGCGAAGTCTGCTGCATGCAGCTGGTTTCATCGATACATGGGCGCCTCCCGGCGCCAGGAGGCCCTAGGAAAACCAGCTACGTGAGCTGATGTTCTAGCCTGCCCTTTGCTATCGGACCCTTCCTTTCCCCCACTCTGGGCCTCCCAGACGGGGTCCTAGTAGATGGGGTCGGAGGATCGCGCCGCATCGCCGACGCATCTGCGACGCGTCTCGATATGGGGCCCGATGTTCTTTCTGTCGACGTCGCGGATGCGTCGCCGACGTCGCCGATGCATCGTCAATGCATCGGCAATGCATCGGCAATGTATTGTCGAGGCGGCGCGATCCTCCGACCCCCATCCCAGGAGGCCTCTGCCCACGTCGCCATGGGGGGAACTGGTCCTATCGGGGGAGCGTAAGACCCAGGTTTGCCAGGACTCGGGTTCGCCTTCGTTTTTTGACGACCGCGCCTCGAATTTTGACGAGGAGGAGTTTCGTGGGGTGTCTGCAGCGGGAGTCCTCGTCAAAATGCAGGTTCGGCCTCGTCATTTTTTTGACGACCTCGTCGGGGATTTCCGAGTCCCCTGTACCCAGGTCTTACGTCCCCCTGATCCTAGGGAAACGGGTTCACCGTTCTCGGGCTCGCGGGGCCCTCCACGCGCCGTGGGAGTGTCAGAAAACGACTCGGGACGAAGAACTCGTCCTGGGGGAAGGCCCCAAAGGGTCCAGGACTCGTTTCCCTGGAGACCCGTTCCCCCCATGCTAGCCACGGCCTGCGTTTGGCGGGGCTTCCCAAAACGCTCGCAGAGCGCTCCAGAGTGCTCTGGAATGGCCCAGGTTAGGGGAACAAGCAACGACAGACATGACAGTTCGGAGGTCCACTGGGGCCCCTTGGCGGCGCCTCCAGCGCCGCCGCGCCAGGGTCCAGCGCCGATCCAAAAATTCCGCGCGGAGATCCGAGTTTCTCTGTTTGTGTAGTTGTTTGTTCACCCAGCGGTGCCGATGCCCGGTACCTCCTCCAGATCCGCCGAATCTCAGAGATCCTTGATTCTATAGGCTTACGCCACATCCGCCGACCCCTTAATCGTCTTGGGGATGTCGTGTTGCTGTCCTTGGGCGTACTTGTGTTGTCTTGTTTCTTTGGGCGGGCGGGCTCGAGGCTCTTCGGGGCCATCCCCGAGCGAGTCCGGGGGCATGTGTGGCCGTTCGCGGGGCGAATATTACACGTCTGGAGGCCCCGAATGGGGTTGGCGGATGCGGGTTGCATCACATGTGTCCAGACACTCGACAAGGCAGTGATCCGTGGCGGTGGTGATGGTGATCCGTGGTGGTGATGGTGATGGCGGTGGTCATCGTGCGTGTGATGGCGATGATGATGCTGGTGGTGATGGTGTTGATGGTGAGACGCGGAGATGGTGACATGGTACCAAACAGGAGAAAGCGGAGGAGGAGGAGGAAGAGGGGGAGGATGGGGAAGAGGCGGAGAAGGGTCCTCCTCGGAGGAGGAGGAGGAAAAGGAGGAGTGACAATTTGGGGAAAATCCCTGTCGCCACCCGCGCCCATAGACGGCATGCGGCGGTCCAAAAATTGGACGAGTCTTTGTCGAATGGGACGCGGCGCATCCCGCCACCTTGCGCGGTATACAGGTAGGCGGCCACACGGATGGTGAAGAAGATCTCGTGCGAGACCTGACGGGGTCGTCTTGCAGGTAGTTTTTGGGGCCTTTTAGGGACTTCCTCGTGGCTTCTTGGAGGCCTCGGAGGTTTTCTGGGAGGTCCCGCAGGCCCTTATGGGGTGTTCTTGGAGCAGGCTGGGAGCGTCTTGGAGCCGAAGGCTCGAAAAGGTGCCCTGTGGACTCCGTGTTGGAGCCGTCTGGTGGCCCTCTTGGGCTGTCTCGGGGGCCTCGTGGGCTGTTGTTGGACCCTCGGCGACCCTGCTGTGGGGCCCCCATTGGCCGTCTGGGGGCGACGTTGAAGGTTTCTTTGCCTGTTGTGGACGTTGTGATGGCCGAGTAGGCGAACATGCGAAGTACTGCGTGGTTTTCGAAGGAACTGGGCCGACCGTTGTGTCTTGCGACCCTCCCGGGGCGCATCTTACGGCCCTCTTTGGGGCGTCATGGCAGCTCCGGAGACCGCCTGGGGGCCATCGTGGGCGTCTGGGGGCGCTATGTCGGCGAATCGTGCTCTCGGGGACCGTCCAGGGAACGCTGTGGCGCCTGTGACGCGTTCAGTCCAGGGTCCCGCCGGGCCGGGCGGGGGGGTCGAATGGCCGGTTTGGGGCCCCTGGGGGGGGAACGTGGGGGGGGGGATCTCACGCGCCTAGAGACCCGCAAGGGGTTGGTGGATTCATCTTGGTCCGATGTTGTCCCTGTCTAGGCCTCGCTTTATTCCGGCGACTCGAAAACATCTGCGCGGGGGGCTTTTCTCCATGTCGGCCTCAGCGGGCAGCTTCTGGACCACGAGGCTGTCGAACATTCTGCCCAGAGAGAGAATCGGACGGGGCTAGGTAGGACGTGGATACATCAGTTCCAGAGCGCTCCGAAACACCTTCGAAGTGTGCAGGAACGCTCTGAGAAGGCCGCGGCGCCCGAGATTTTTTCTTCAGAACCGCTGGATATCAGAAGGCCCCGTTTTTTCTCACCCCGTTTCATAGTTGCTTTGGTTTCGCCTTAAAGAAGGAGTGCCTTAAGAAGAAGCCGAGGTCTCGAGCAACCCACGCTGCGAACACGCCGGGTCGTTGTAGTTTTGGGACAGCGGAACCCGCGCCGCCCAACCCACGTAGCAGAGGGTAGGGTAGAGAATCAGCTCACGTAGCTGGTGATCGTGGGGCCTCCTGGCGCCGGGAGTCGCCCAGTTATTGACGACCGGACAACCCACCCATACCCATGGGGGGGTCGGCGGGAGCAGGACTTGCCACGGGTATGGGTGCGGGCTGTCGGACCGCGGGGGGGGCTCGTTTTCGAGCGGGGACCCCATCCGACAACACGCACCCATAGCCCCGTCCGTCCTCCTTATGGGTATGGGTTCGTATTGTCCGTTCGTCATGTATCGAGGAATGGGCCCCGCGGCGTGGCGGAAACCAACCGCATGCAACAGTTTTCGCGCCCCCACTTTTTCCTTATCCTACCCTTTTTCGTCGGCGGCGAGCGAGGAAGGGGAATGAATAGGAACAGGTTTTTCTGGTTTTCGGAAGGCTCGGAAGTCGCCCGGCCTTTGAAAAGGTTCGTAAACCGTCTTTGGAGACACAGGGGACTTATCAGAAGGCCAGGGCGCTTCTGAGAAGCCCTGCCACCTTCTGAGAAGGCCTCCTCCTTCTCACTTCACCGCCTCGCTCACTGCCGAATGTGGGCGTCTTCTCGACTGTCTTCTTAGTGGCTCCCTACGATTTCGAAATCCTGTGCCCTCTTACGTTCAGAGGGCAGCTCCTGGGAGGCTAAGTTCAGCACCGGCGCTGGTATACCCACAGCCGAGCACCGTGCTCATCCAGCATACTCCCGCTCAGTTCCGCGCAGCCCCGAGCCCCGCTTAATGTTGTCTGTTCGGTTGCAATTGTTATATAAATTTGGGTTGCAATCAACATTGGTAGTAAGGATGTGCGACTTTCCAACGTTTCTATTGCATTCTTTCCCCTCGGCCCATCCTTGGCAGCTTTCTTGAGCCTTCCAAAGGCCTTGCATCTTCAACGTGCATCCTTTCAATCAGTGTTGTTTGTAATCTGGCTCAATGGCACTTGATCAGGTTTGACAGCCATTCCACCGATTCCACGAAGACCTGCCTGGCAATTGCCTCCCAAGCTCTTGAGCAGATTGGGGTTCGCCGAGGGCCTCGGAACGGCGGTGCTCCTCCCCCGTTGGGCCTTCTGCTCTCTCAAGGTGTCGGGTGTTGCCAGAAGTGCCACTGGCCCGAGGTGCGCCCCAGAATTTATGGGTGGTCCCGACGGCCTCCAGAGCCTTCCTCACGAGGCCCAGGGGGCCCCAGGTGCTCCAAAGTGGAGCGACCAGCTTGGGGCACCTTGGACAAGGGCCACTTCCAGCAACACCCGGAAGTGGGGTGCCCGCAGTTGCTCCACGAGCGAGGGGGCGGTTTGGGGGAGGACTCGGGCCGTGCTTCGCGGTGCGCCGGGGGGGGATCCTGGCCGCATGAGGGGCGCTGCCGGTGCGCTCCGCCAGGGGGAGGGGGGTGCTGGAGCTGCGCCCTGCGGTCGTCGCCGGCTCCCCGTGGCCAGGTCCCACGGACAGGCACCGAGCTTGCTGTAAGGCTGAGGGGAAGGCGGCAAACCGCCTCAGACGTCGGAGTCGGGGTGGACATCAGCGGAGTGCCGGGCAGCCGCACGCCCGAGCTTCGGATCAGGAGTGGGGGGCAGTGTTGGGAGGGGGAGGGGTGTCAGGCAGGAGGAGCAGGTCGAGGAGGCGTGGGGTGGGGGGCAGGAGATTGACGAGGAGGAGATTCGGAGGGGAAGGAGGAAGGAGGCTGAGGATGACGAGGAGGATCCTTCATCTGGAGGAGGAGAAGGAGCAGGAGCCGTGCTCTAGGACGTGGGAGGTGGGAGAGAAGAAGCCTGAAGGATGAGACCTGTGTGTTCTGAGGACGGTTCGTGCGCCACGACGGCCGCTCTGTAGCCCTGGTGTCGTGAGGGCACGGCCATGGCGGGACGGTCGAGAGGCTTCAGCATTGGTGCCGCTTTCCTCGATCTAGAATTGTGCAAAATAAGTATCACCCTGTACAGTCTGGGATTTCGCCACAAAAGACCTCCGCAAGAA